AAATTTGGTGTAGCTTTCAGGCCTATAGTTGAAGTGATCCAGCGTCTGGTTGTAGTAAAATGTCTGGAATTCCTTGGAACTCCATGTTTTCAAAATCTCTGGTTGTTCCAGGATGACTCCTTCAGTTGGACTCAGCCTCGGTATGTCGATCAGAGTAGCAGCAGCCCGAGAGAGGGCCAAAACCACTGTCGTACAGAGTATCAGAAGCCATTGAAATATTGATTGTTTCATCTCTGGTTTTTGGTATTTGTCCTTGTGAGCCTTTGAGGGATACATACGCTTATATATAGAGTTATCCTGCTTTAAAAAATTATACTTGGAAATTAATACAGACAACTGCCGGCCTCATATATATAATTATTATTCATCAAGTTTGCAATTTGAAGTATCATAAATTAACTTTTGTTTGAAACACCAATTTGCAGAGAAAAATAGAGAGTTTTTTTTTTCACAGTTATTTCCGTTCAATTATTAAAATATAATATAATTATAATGAATTTAATTGATTCCTATATCTTGTATGTATCACTATATTTTTAAGTTCGTTTATCTTTAATTTTATATAAATTTTTTTTAATGAATATATTGTATAGTATATTGAATTGGAATGTGTACCAATTAGTATCATAATTTTACTTATCACACTTTTATTTAACACAAATAAAAAAAAAAAAGATACCAATAAAAACATATGGGAAAAATGCAAGTCATAGCTGAGATTTAATTAAAAATCTAATTCAAAATTCAAAAATTCACATTATTTAATATTGATACATGTGTTTTCAAATCTATGTATTATAATATGTTTTCATATCTATATATCAACATTTAATAAAGAGAATTTTTGAATTTTGAATTGGATTTTTTTGTTTCCAAATATAAGAATTAATATTTAATAAAATAAATTTTTAAATTTTCAATTGGTGAAAAGATGCAAATAAGGATTTTTATTTAATGATTAATTGGATTGGACTGTGATGCTAACATGGTGAATGGTTTTTTATATCTGAAATGTTGAAAGTTAATATTTTTAGATAGAAAAAGTTGAAGTTGATATCCTTATTTAGAAATTAACAAAGTTAACATGTTTAAATAGAAAAAAGCTATAGAGTTGGTATTCTTATTTGCATATTTTTTTCTTTAAATTAAGAATATCCATTTTTAACTTTTTTCTATTTATGAATTAATTGAATGGTTGTACTAACATGACAAATAGACTTTTTATCCATAATAGTAAAATTAGCATCCTTAAATAAAAAAAATTCAAAGTTAATACTTTTTTTTAGAAATTGATAAAATTAATATTTTTAAATTAAAAAAAGTACAAAATTACCATTCTTATTTACATCTTTTCTTAGAGTTGCAATAAAAACGAGAAATACAATATTTCAGCGTTAGTTGTTTACACATTTTATTAGTCGGACTTGGACGGATAGATTTTTTGCTAGAATCTAAGTTTGCCATCTGGGTAATTTATAAAAAGTTATATCCAAAAGACCGGAATTATGAAGAAATAGTAATCAATAAGTCTCTTAACGAATAAAAATTTAAAAATATAAGTAAAAGTTTTAAGTTCATATTTCAAAACTTGAAACTAGTATCTAGGAGAGATGAAAGAAAAGAGTGGTTGTATTTTATTATAATACAGATTATTATCAGATTTACTAATTAGGAAGAGTGGTGATCTCTAAGGTTGCTAATCAATCTTTATAACCATAGATTATGGTAACAACTACCGTGTAATTATTTTTATTAGAGGACAATTTCTATGAATCATTTTTCTAAATCTTTACCTGAATTTTGAAGTCGTAGCTGGCCTTAGAATTAAAAAAAAAAAAGTATATATCATCTTTAACTTGACCTGTAGATAATGAAAGGAAGCAACGGCATATTAGAGATTGGGTGGTGATATAGAGAAAATATTTTTGTATAATTTTTTTTCATAATTTTTACGTAACATTAAATAAATATATATAGTTAACATTATAGGTTTTAAATAAATAAAAAATATTAATTATTTTAAAAAAAATAAGATTGTACAAAAAAATTATT